AGGTTCTGGGCCTTGATCCTGCCCCGCTGGGTCACCGGGTCAATGTCGACTCGTTCCTGCGCCCACTTGGAAAGCGTCGCTTGGCCGGTCAACTGGCTGATGAACCCACCTTCGCGATTAAAGACCTGCACGCGGTCATTCTTGAAGTCGGCCACGTAAATTGTGCCATCCTGCTGCACTGCGATTCCGGTTGGGCGGTTGAACTCTCCGTCGCCCTGGCCCGAAGAGCCAAACTTCATCAGGAAACGGCCATCCGCAGTAAACTTCTGGATCCGGTCGTTGCGCCAGTCGGCCACGTACACGTCGCCGTTTCCGTCGATCTCAATACCCCAGGGGTAATTGAACTCTCCGTCGCCGCTGCCGCTCCGGCCCCACTTGAACAAGAACTTGCCCTCTTTGGTGAACACCTGCACCCGGTGGTTGTAGCTGTCCACGACGTAGAGGTTGCCGTCCTTACCAAAGGAAAGGGCGGAAGGCCGGTTGATCTCCCCGTCGCCGTCGCCCAGGGCGCCCCACTGCCTGACCCAGCCACCGTCCTTGTTGTGGACAGAGATGCGGTTCAGCCACTCGTCGGACACGTAGGTGTTGCCTTCCCCGTCTACCGCCACCGACGTCGGCCACATGAAGGTGCCGTTGGGGGCGGACGCGTCCGCCTCTTCCGGTGGAATCTTCTGGCCGTACTCTGCGATCAACTGCTCGTCGGGTGTGAACACGGTAACCCGCTTGCATGGGAAGAAGGCCGGGGTCTCAGTACGCGGCTCAACACGTAAAACAGGTTGTCCTGGTCCCGGGTGATAGCCACCGGGTTGAAGAAGCCGTTCCCGCTGCGCACTTCCTGACGGCCGATGGTATGGCTGTATTGAAATGTCACCGGTGCAATTTCCGTAACCATACTGCCTCACGCGGCTACCCGGTCAATTCCCCGGCTATTTGACGTGGAAACCAGGGGAACCGGGGCAACCGCTCTATTCAGATTGCTATTCGAGTTGCCAGTTACTTGATAAAGTCGAACTGCTCGAAGGGCCCTTTCAGGATTCCTGAGCGTCGAGACCCATCCACCGGTCCAGCAGGGTGGCGTAGGTGCTGCGGAAGTCGTTGTTCCACTGCAGGTCGCCTTCGTCCAGCTTGTCTCTCTCCAGGGACGGGTACTCTCCGTAGAGACCGCCCTTGACCGCGTCGCCCATCACGAACGCCACGCTGCCCGAGCCGTGGTCGGTGCCGGAGCCGTTCTCCTGAACCCGCCGGCCAAACTCGGTGAACATCAGGATAACCACTTCTTCGTTGGCGTTGTGCTCTTTGAGGTCCTGGTAGAAGTCGCTGACCGCGTTGGACACATCGGACCAGAGCTTGGGGAAAGCGGTCGACTGGTTGGCGTGGGTATCGAATGCGCCGGGGTTGAGCCCGGTGTACAGGATACGGGTCCCGAAATCGGCCAGGTGGACCTGGGCAATGTTCTTGACCCACTGCGAGAATTGGTCGCCGTTGTATTCCACAGGAGAGGAATACACCTGCGGGGCGGTGCTGAGGATGTCGGCCCCCTTCAAGGCGTCCAGGCCGGTCTGGGACAGGTACTCATTAGCCATGCCGCTGCCGATCAAGGGAGAGTACATTCTGGCGAAAATGTCCAGGGCCTGGGACCGCTGGTCTTCACCTTCGATTCCAGTCAACACGCCGTAGGTTTCGAGGCTGCCGACCGACGCCACCGAGACTCCCGGCATAGCGAGGGCCCTGGGCAGACCGCGTCCGAAGTTCACCGCGGTCAGCACGTTTTCCTTGTGCGGGTCCAACTCTTCGATCGCCCGGCCCAGCCAACCTTCGGTGGCCATCTTGGCCGGCTCCGCGGTATGCCAGATGTCCATGGAGCGGAAGTGGGAGCGAATCGGATTGGGATAGCCGATTCCCTGGATGACCGCAACTTTGCCCTGGTCGTATAAATCCTTGATCGGGGCCATGGCGGGGTGAAACCCCACCTTGTCATCGATGGCCAGAACCTGCTCGGGCTCTACCTTCAACTCGGCCCGGTAGTCCGAGTAGTGGGGGTCGTTGTAGGGGATGACGGTGTTCAGGGCATCATAGGCGCCCGACATTTGCAAAACCACCAACACTGGGTCTTTCTTATTAGAGGTCACGGTTTCCTCCTATTTTTTCGGTGACTGGATTCTCCGGCATTCCGACCGGGGCATGCGAATCCCTACAAGATTGGGCTAGGCATGAAGAAATTCCTTGGTCGCCACTATCATTTTGAGTATGTCGCCGACGCGTTGGGGGAAATCCATGGCGTCGGTGCGCAGTTCCCCATCGTTTTCGGCCTGAGAGGCGAACAACCGGCGGGTCTCATCCGGCAGCTCGTAGTGGCCCAGGAACCGCAAGCAATCGTCAACCAGGTCTTCTCCGGAGACCACCGGCCCCCGTGAGGCAATCCTGGCGACTATGTCCTTGACGCCGGGATAGTTTACGTCGCCGACGTAACCGGCGGTGAAATTGATGCGGTGAACCAACGTCCCGCCGTCGATCCACTCCCTGCCGGTATGCCACCCTTCAACCGAGGGGGGGTTAAACAGCTCCTGCCCCATGTACTTCATTTCGTCGAAGATCCACTCAAACCCCGGCTTGGGAGAGTTCCAGTCCCCGACGAGGCGCATGGTTCCCATCACGGTTTCCACCGGGCTCTTAACCTTGGCGAAACGGGCGTTCTTGAAGGCGTCGGAGTGGAACAACACCCTTAACATAGACCGGACATTGTACCCGGACCGGAAATACTCGTCCTCCAGCATCTTGATGGTTTCCGGATCGCGTGGCGGAGTGTCCATCCAGGCCGGCACCTGGGCCTCGTCGGCCACAAAGCAGTCGTACAAATGGCGAGACAGGAACCGGGCCGCGGCGGGCTGCTTGGCGATGATGTCGATAATGTCGTCGCCATTGAAGCGACCGGTCTCGCCGAGGAATGTCTTTTCCCCATCGTCGTGGTCGTCGGGGTTAAAGAGGAATCTGGCCGCATAGCGGCCGTAGGGTTGGCCCGGAACGTTGTTGGCGAGGGTCCAACCGGTAAAGGCCCGAGAGCACTCCTTTTACGTCCTCCTCGGTGTAGTTGAACTCCCCGTCCATTCCCACACCCATCGAGAACAACTCCAGCAGTTCCCTGCCGTAGTTTTCGTTGATTGCTCCCTTGTGGCTCAGGCAGTTGTCCAGGTAAAACACCATGGCCGGGTCCCTGGAAATCTCCAACAGGAGGTCTCTGAAGCTCCCCATCCCGAATTTCGGAACATCTCCAATTCGTCGTAAGAGGTGGGGTAGCTTTGCACCTTGCTGTCCGCGGTACAGAGGATGCTGTGCCAGAACAGCACCATCTTCTCTTCAAGTTGGCGCTTGGAGTTAATCATCCGCCAGGCGAAATACTCCGGGACTCCCCGGACAAAGTGGTTCCACTCCAGGAAACTGCGCTCAACCAGGTCAAGGTCCAGTCCGTCCGGCTGGCTTTCCGGGTTGAGTAGTTCCTCGACCGTTTGCTCATAACCCTTCTCGGCCAGGGCTTCCAGTTCATGGTATTGAGCGCCGAAGCCGGCCCGACGCATCAGGTGGGCAATTAGCGCCGTTTCCTTGGCTGTTGCTGGTCTACCATAGACGCTTCTCCTCTCTCCGAAGTAAACCAAATATTTTCCAGAATCGTAGCACGCCAGCGGGCGCAATGCCAACGCCCTTTGAGGATTTCAGAGGGTTTTCATTGTCCCCTGTCATTCTCGCCGCAGCGGGAATCCAGAACCCTGATTATGTGCCAAGACTATTATGCCAAATAAGACGCCCCGGATGGACAGGTCGACGTCCCACTTGAGCCTGTCTCAGAAGTATTTGGCGGGACGACTATCGTTCTCATAACAGCGTCAATTTGCGAAAGTGTACTATTATGCAACAGAATTCTGTCTTCAAGAGTACCCATAATCCGAATGTCGTTATGGCCTTGGACTTCTGAGACAAGCTCACCTGGAACATTCCTGCAGGCACGCACCACGTTGGATGGGGAAAAGGGCTCTGGATTCCCGCTGCGGCGAGAATGACGGGAGTAGTAGTCAAAATGGGATCCAGATCCCTGTTGCGACAAGATACACGGTGGATTCGATGATAATCGAAAGGCCCTGGAGGATTTCCGGGGGATTTCATTGTAGGAGCGTGACACGGGAGTTGGGAAAGCAGCTCTGGCAGTAGGTTTGGTGGGGGTTATGTCAAGAAATTGTGAGGCGAGTAGGGCTGGGGCTGAAACCCGGCAGGCGCCATGGTCACACAATCGAGTGTGTGGCCATGGCAGAATTGGGAGATAGGCATCATTTTTTGAAAAGGGGGTCAATTACCGGGACAGAAGAATCCTTTATCTGGGTAAATGGCTAAAAGAGTAGTGTGACGGAGTGAATTCTGTTGCTTCTACTATCTAGACGTTGTTGACCAGTCGTTACCAGACTTGATTGTCAGCACCCGTTGGGTCAACGGTCTAAAGCGTTCCCTCCGGCTCCAAGCCCAGGGCCAGGCGCCCGTATTGGTGGCCTCCCAGGTCCATGATGAGGCCGTCCCGGTGGGCTACTGCTTGGGCGTCGCGGTGGAAACGTTGCAGAGACACCGAGTCGAAGAGGGCGTGGCCGCCGCTTAGGTCGAAGAGCCGGTTGACTGCCTGGAGGCAAAGCTGGGTGACGAACGCCTTGTCCCGCCGGAATCTCGCCCGCTCCAACGGCGCGAAGCCCTCACCTTCTTCGGCTTTCCCGAGAATTTCGCGAATGTCCCGGTCTATCAGAGCACGGGCTGCGTCCAACTCGGCGGAGGCCTGGGAGAGGCGAAGCTGTACCGCCGGAGAGTCGGCGGTCCTGCCGGGCCCCGACGTCCCAACCATTCGTTCGGTAAACTCGTCGATCATTCCCCTGGTGATTCCCAGCATGGGGGCCACCAGGTCCCATCCCAGCAACACGGGAATCGGCGCCCGGTACCGGGCCTGTCGGTGTATTTCCCAGCCGCTCCAATCACCGTCGCCCGCAGAGGTCACGTCCAGGACACGGTGGTAAGGCACAAAGCGTCTCCAACCACGACATCCTTGCTCCGCTGCCGCGCAGGCCGGAGACGAACCAATTATCAATAATTTCGAAGTCGCTGCGCGGCACGAGAACCCAGTTGCGCTCGCCGATGCCGGATACCCCCAGAATCAACCAGCTTGCAGAGTCGCAGCCGCTGGAGAACTCCCATCTTCCGGATAGGCGGTACCCGCCCTCAACGGTAGGCAGACAGGTCGACTTGCCGGGACCCAGTGAGCTGGAGCAGAGCGCGTCCGGGCTGGCGCCGAACACTTCTCTTGCGCCGCAGCGCCAATAGCCAACCAGCCAGGCGTGGGCCGCCCAGAGGCAGTAGCACCATGCGGTGGAAGCGCAGCCACGGCCCAACTCGGCGGCGACGTCAAAAATGAGGCCGTAGTCCCCGTCGATGCCGCCGAAGCGCTTGGGCACTCCGATGCGGTAAAGTCCCGAGGACAGCAGGTCGCTCACATTTCGGCGGGCACTCGCCGCAATTCCTCGGTGCGGGCCGCGCGCTCCTTGAGTACGAGGCACTAGCTCCGCGGCGCGTCCCAGCAACTCCGCGGCGGTAAGCGTTGCTGCGTCGAGGTCAGGCCCTGTGGTCATTGGTCCCCCTGTGAGCCGCGGCTGGGTTTTTGAGATTTTACAATGTTCACGTTCCCGCGAACGATATGTCAAACATCCCCGTCCCTATCCCAGGGTCTCGTATCTTGAGGTTGGCACGGGAGGTCGACCGTCGCAACGGGAATTCAGGTCCTTTTGGTGAGCAGCCCCGCCTGCCCAAACGTGGGATGCTCTGCCCCGGGTGTGCCGGTCGAAATGAGAATGTTAGCCCAGGCAAAGGGCTCTGGATTCCCGTTGCGACGGGAATGACGGGAGTAGGGGCAGCTAGGGAACCGGGGACAATTGAGATACGCTGATCCCTATCCACCAACCGCCGGGTGGTTTTCAGTCCTCTACCCCCGGCCGAACCAGTCGGGGTGGACCGACTGGATGCCAAGTTGGGGCCATGCGGCCGGCGCGCTGCACTTTTCCAGACGCTGTTCCAAGGGCAGCGAGTCGTCCCAGTGGTAGGCGATGATGCGGCGTCCGTTCCAATGGCTGGCTGCCTCCGATGCAATCCAGACTACGGGAGATTGCATCACCTCCGGCTGGATCAGCGATCTCGGGGCCGGCCCCTTCCGGCGGCAGCACCATGTTGGTGGCGGTGGCTCCGCCGGGGGTCAGCACGTTGGCGGTGACCCCAGTTCCTTCGAGGTCCTGAGCCATAATCGATATCAACGCCTCGTGGCCCGCCTTGGACGGTCCGTAGGGCGCGCCGCCCTTACGCCACATGGTGTCCATGCTGGTGGTCACGCCGATAATCCGGCCGTAACCCTGCTCCAGCATGTGCCCGGACACGGCGTGGGACATCAGGAACGGACCGCTCAGGTTGACGTCAATGACATCGAAGCCAGGCGCTGGGGTCGATGTCCCAGAATCCGGTGTTGCTGCCAGATGCGCCTTGGGAAGTGAAGCCGCCGGTGCGGGGATTGATGCCGGCGTTGTTCACCAGGATGTGCAGGCCGCCCATTTCTTCGATCGTCCGGGCTACGGCGCTTTCCACCGATTCCGGGTCGGTGACGTCGGCGATGATGGGCAGCACGGCGTTGTCGCCGCCAAGCTCTCGCAAGTCGTTGGCGGTCTGGTCCAGCCAGTCCTGGTTTATGTCCAGCATCGCAACCCGCGCCCCCGCCGCACCAACCCGGTGGTGATGGAGCGGCCCATGCCGATGGGGCTGGCGGCGCCGGTACTATGGCGATTTTCCCTTCCAGTACATTCGGTGGAGTTGTCATGGTTTACCTCTCTTTTCTTGGCTTGGGGGGCACTTTTGCCACGGAGAATACAGAGTGCACGGAGGTTGGCGATTTACCGCTTACTACTTCGGGGAAGCTCGGAACATCCGGGCGCCCACATTCGCCAGAACCGCAATCAACACACCCAGCACCACCATACTGCTTATGGGAACGACTGCACCGAGGCCGCTCCGGCAGAACAGGAGGTCTCCCGGAATACGGCAATACAGAGGAAGCTCGCTGGCGAAGGTCATTGCAACTCCAAGGGCCAACGTGATCGCTCCGACCGCCGGGAGCAGGTACTCTCAAGCTCTGAGTCTCCACTGCGAGGCCAGTCCTTGAAGAGACTTTAACGTCGTCCTCGTCGGGGCGCGCCGCCGATGCTCGAAAACGGCTTGACCATTCGATTGCTTGTCGGAATCTTAGCACACGCGCCGCGCCGCCAATGGTTTCGTGACCTACCAGCGGCGTGGTCCGACCGTCGGATTCGACGGTCGGACCACGCATGGACCAGGCGCAACTCCATGGTTGCGGAAATCTTCAGGTCGATTTTAACGGAATACGCGGGATATTCATTTTTAGTTTCCCGCTTTGTTGTATAATTCCCAACAAGGCCGCCGGGGTCCATTCTTTTATGGTTGGAGACCCTAAGGCCAACCCCTCCCTGCTCTGAAACGGGAAGAAGCCGGGAGGTAGCGGGAGTGACGGTTCCCCGGAATTCTACGGTACGACCTACAACAGTACGGCCGGCAGCGGTACGACCCACAAATTACAACTGAAGGAGGGAATCCTATGGCGGTTGACAACACCCTAGTCGTGGGCACCATTGGATACGGAGTCTTTTGGACCAAAAACGACGGGAAGGACTGGGACAGGTCCAATTTCGTCTCCGGCCTGCCCTTCGGCACCCGGGTTTACTATCTGGTATCGCATCCTCATAAGCCGGAGATCATTTTTGCCGGCACCGATTTCGGTCTGGCCCGGAGCGAGGATGGGGGCAAGAGCTGGCAAATCGGAGAAAATGCCCTGGCCGATTACTCCGTTTGTCGCTGGCGATTGACCCGGTTGAGCCCGAGGTTATGTTTGCCGGGACATCCCAGGGCTATGTGTTCCGGTCGATGAACGGGGGCGATAGCTGGGAGCAGCGCCCGGCTGAGGTGGCGGAGGAATGCGTCAACGTGGGAATACCCAGGACCACCACTATCGCAATTGACCCCGCCGATACCAACAACATCTGGATGGGTATTGAAGTCGACGGGATGCGCCGCAGCCGAGACCGGGGTGAAACGTGGTCGAGGGTGGACGTGAGAAACCCCGACGGCCACGATATCAAGATCAGCAACGGGGAACCCCACACGGTCTTAATCATGACCAACAGCGACCTCTACGCCAGCACCGATGACGGGGCCACCTGGAAGGCAACCAGCGCCCGGGAGTCTTTCCCCTACACGTTCTGCCGGAACATGGCGGTCCAGCCGGGGCATCCCCAAAACGTGTTTTTGAGCCACGGCGACGGAGCGCCCGGAAGCACCGGAATGCTTCTCAGGTCCAGGGACAGCGGGGATTCCTGGGAAACCATCACGCTGGACCCGGAACCCAACTCCTCCATGTGGACTGTCGCGGTGCACGAGGCAGACCCCAACCTCATGTACGCCAACAGCGTTTTCGGCTATATTTACCGCAGCGACGACGGCGGAGATTCTTGGGGCAAGATGTCAAGGGAGCTCAGCGAAATTCGCAGCATGATTTGGGTCCCTAACTAATCAAATCCGGTCAACCATAGCTTTCCCCGGCCGGCCGGGAGCAGAGGAGGCTAATATGGGAATTTTTGCAACCCTGAAGGAAATCCGCGGCGGCTACCCCGGAGGATGGAAGAAGTACTCCCACGGGAAGGCCAACCACCGGGCCACTCCGCCCTTTGTTCAAACCAACGAACCCCGACGACCGGCGAAGTCTGATACCCTCCGCAGGGCTCAAGGAGTATTGGTACCCGGCCCTGCCGGCCAGGGACGTTGGCTCTAAACGGCCCGCTTCCCTGAAAATCGCAGATGAAGAGCTGGTCTTCTTCCGGGACAAGAACGATGAGGTACAAGCCCTGTGGGACTACTGCCCTCACCGGGGAGTCTACCTCTCCTGGGGCCAGTGCTTCTTCAAAGGGTTCCTGACTTGCCCCTACCACGGGGCCACCTTCGACGGCGACGGCGAGTGCGCCGAGTTCCTCACCGAGGGACCCGACTCCAAGATGGTGGGCGCTTTCCGGGCCAAGAAGTACCCCACCATCACCCTGAAGGGGATGGTGTTCGTCTGGATGGGGGAGGGCGAACCGGTTGATCCCAAAGAGGACATCCCTCAGGAGATGTTCGAAGGGAAGGAGACCGCCGTTTTCGAAAGCATCCGCTACTGGGACTGCAACTGGATGGTCGCGCTGGAGAACACCCACGACTCCCACAACGCCTTCTTCGTGCACCGGAACGCCATCCGGGTGATGTTCTCGGCACGGGGCGACATGGGCGGACGCCCCCGCACCCCATTGGGCTACCGCTCCCGGCTCATCAACAACAAGATGGCCATGACCGAATTTGACAACGGCGCCGTGGGGAACTACTACGCCGATCAAAACGGCGGGGAAGATGCCCTACAAGATGTACCATCCCCGGGTGGGCGCCAACTGGCCCTTGTCCAGTTGGCGGTTGTCCTGGGTCTGGTTCTTCCGGCTGCTGGACCGCTCACGCAAGTCTCCCACAAGGACGACCCCCAGCCCGCGGCAGATGCAGCACGACGATAAGATGTCCGACGATTGGCAGTTCGGCGGCATGAGGTTGCCGGGTATGCAGCGGCTCAGCACCTTTACCCGCTGGTGCGTTCCGGTGGACAAGGACATGACCCGGTGGTTTACATCACCTTCGGCCGGGCCAAGACCCGTCTCGGCCGGCTTTGGGTGGGGATGAAGTTCAAGGGGTACCAGCAGTTCCTGAGCCACTTCAACTTCTCGGACCAGGACTACAACGCCATGCGGTCCACCCGCTGGCAGTACGCCGAATACCTGTCGGCTACCGACTCGCACCTGGTGGCGGAGCGGCGGCTGGTGGCTGACCACGCTCGCGGGCTGAAGCACACCATCGAGGTCAAGGACCTTACCACTGCGGAGAGGCAGGTGATAGAGGGCCACGAGCGCCAAGGGGTGAAGCGAGAGGATGACTACGGTATCGTCGCGGCCAATGCGGCCAACGGGGCCGAAACCGAGCAAGTCCCGGAATCGGTGCCCACCGGTGACGGCGACGATTAGCCAGCCCGGTCTGAACCCCGCCCGCCAGGTGGGGATAGGACCGCAGCCCTGAGATGTATTAGGGTAAAGAAAACGCCTGGGAGGAAGCTTATCCTCCCAGGCGTTTTTGGATATTGTTGGACATTGATCGCCGGCGCGCCGGCGGAAGAGCTGCACACCCAGGTCTCCGCCGGCACCGATGCTCCGTCAGACGGCGGACCCACCGCGTACCTACGCCACCGGCGTTGGGTCCAGGCCGTACAGCTCCTGCCCTGCCTCCTGCCTTCACGGACCAGCTTATTTGTAGCATGTAGCGCGCCCCTCTCCACTGCCACGGCGTTTCCTCGTATCACGTCGTTCCGCGACAGCATCAAGGAATGTGTTCGACAACATCCATAGAGTTGGGCCAGGTGGAAGCGTTGTGCGGATAGTCCGAAGACCACATCAGGTTGTCCACACCGATGATGTCCCGGTCTTGCACCGCCTGCATGTCGTTGATGTAGGTGAAGAACAACTGGCGCTGGCAGTATTCGGTGGCCTTAGCGTCAGCTTGGTGGGATAGGGCGCCGTCCCACCTCGACGCACTGCGCCGTCGAGCCTCTTCATGAAGGAGGGCACCCAGTCGGTACCGTTTTCGGCGCAGATCAGCTTCAAGCCCGGGAAACGCTCCAGCACACAAAGAAACGCAGACGCCCACTCCGGAGAGAACTTAGTGGCAAAGTCCGCTCGACTCGTTGGTGCGGTCACTCCGCTGATTACGGCATAGGTCGCCATGAGTTGATGGTTAGCACACCGGCTTTCGTTCGGCCCCGCCGGTGATGCCGTGGAGCACCATGGGCATTCCCAGTTCCTGGGCGGCGGCCCAGAACTTGTCGTAGAAGGGGCTGTCGTAAGTCGGCGCGCCAGCGGCCGGGGAAAGCCAGATCATGGCTCCCGAGAGACCCACCATCTCTGGCTGGTCCTGTGCAGTTTCCTGCACCGTCAGTCATGGCGTGAGCGAGATGCATGTACGCCTGATCACGCGTTCGCGGGAGTGACTGCTATACTCGGCCAGCGAGTCGTTGTAGGCGGTGAAGCAGGCCCGCTGGAGGCGGCGTCTGGAGGAGCCCCAGGCCAGAGAGCCGGAACCAGAGAACGTGTGCAGGGCCGTACCTCCGCCCCACGCCGCGTCAACGTCCTGGTCGATAAGGCGCGCTACCGGGTCCCAGCCGCCGGTGAGGGCTTCGCGGTAGCCTTTGCCGCTGTCGGTGTACTCATTCTTGTTGCCGCAAAAACGGGAGCGCCCCAACACCGAAGCACCAAACAAATCGACCCAATGATACCGGTGCAGGCGGGGAAAGAATCCTTCATAAATCATGAAATCCTGCAGCTTGCCGTCCTTTTCCCGGGTCTCGACCCGCGGCGCTCGGAAATGGTACGCGGGTTCGATCCGCTTCGAGTTTATCGCAGTCCAGCCAAAGGTCGGTTGGCTCACTCACGTGGGAATCGGCCGAGAACAGCTTGTAGTTGACCATCTCGTTGTAATTCACCATGTTTCATACCCCCATTCTCTTGCCGGGAAACGGCGTCTTACCAATCTACGCCACACCCATCTATGTCATACCCGCGAGGGGTGCGGCCCGCTTGCCGGTAGTTGAGGCAATTGGTAGCCGCGAGGACGCAGTGTCAACGCTACCCCGGTTTGCGAGTCCAATTCCATAGCCGGGCGGAGACTCCAGCCCAGGCACCCAATTCATACCGGGGCCGGAACACATACCGGGATGATTTGCGGCGAGCCGGGCGATTGGCCGGGGTTGCTGCTACCCTTTGGGTAGGCTAATCTGGCAGCAGTCCATTGCGGCCTTCCGCGCATCGGCGGCCCTTGGGGGCATGCGCATCGGACTATAGAAATGGAGAAAGCCAGATGACTTCTTACACGACCATCGGCCAGACAAGCCCCCGGTGGACGGGCGGGAGAAAGTGACCGGGGAAGCCTTGTACACAGCCGACGTGACGCTGCCGGGGACCCTCTGGGGAGTGGCCTTGCGCAGCCCTTACCCCCACGCCCGCATCCTCAACGTCGATATTTCCAAGGCCTTGCAGGTGCCGGGGGTCCACGCAGTGCTGACTGGGCGGGACGTGCGGGGCATCCGCTACGGCAGACGCCTGTACGATGTTCCGATTCTGGCGGACGACAACGTCCGGTTTATCGGCGACCGGGTGGCCGCGGTTGCCGCCGTGGACCGGGACACCGCTGAGGAGGCCCTGCTCCTAATTGAGGTGGAGTACGAGGAACTGCCGGCGGTCTTCGATCCCGCGGAAGCCCTGAAAGAGGAGCTCCCATTTTGCACCCGGAGGTCAACAGCTACGCTGGGCTGCCCCGCCAGTTGGCGCAGCCCACCAACTGCTTTGCCCAGGATACCTGGAGCAAGGGGGATGTCGACCAGGGTTTTGCAGAGTCCGACATTGTTGTGGAGAACACCTTCTCCGTGCCCCGGCAGCACCAGGCCTACCTGGAAACCCACTCCTGCCTGGTGTGGATTGACGACGAAGGCAGGGTGCAGATCTGGGCTTCCAGCAAGGTGCCCTACCCGGTGAAGCAGCAGTTGTCCAATGCCTTGGGGCTTCCCGAGGAGCGTATTCGCATCAACCCGGTCAACATTGGCGGGGACTTCGGTGGAAAGGCTCCCCCATGAACATTCCCCTGGCCTACTTCCTGGCGGTGCGTACCGGAAGGCCGGTCAGGATGGTCATGGACTATACCGAAGAGTTCATAGCCGGCAACCCCCGGCACAGCGCCCTGGTCGAGATTAAGACCGGGGTCAAGCGGGACGGGACCCTGGTGGCCCTGCAGGCCAAGGGTAATTTTCACGACAGCGGCGCCTACGGGGGATTCAAGCCGGCACCCGGCGTGAATTTGGGCGGCGCAGCCAAGGCCGCCGGTCCCTACCGGGTTCCCCACCTCCGGGTCGACGCCGCTCCAGGTCTACACCAACACCGTCCCGGGCGGATTCATGCGGGCTCCCGGTGAACCCCAAGCCGCTTTTGCCGCCGAGTGCCAAATGGACCTGGTAGCGGAACGCCTGGGGATGGACCCGATGCAGTTCCGGCTGAAAAACCTGCTTCAGGAGGGAGACGAGAACCCCTTGGGCGCGGTCTATACCGGCATCAAGGCGAAGGAGACCCTGGAAGCAGCGGTATCCGCCTCGGACTACAACGCTCCCAAGCCGGAGAACACCGGCCGCGGCATTGCCATGGGAGACCGCCCCACTGCCGGAGGGGAATCCCACGCCATGGTGACTCTCAGCCCCGAAGGCTCGGTAGTGGTGCATACCTCCATATTCGAACCGGGTACTGGCACCTACACCCTACTGCAAAAGATTGTAGCCGAGGAACTGGGGTGTCCCTGGAGCAAGTCCAAGTGGAAGTTTGGGACACCGACGGCGTGCCCTTCGACACCGGCGTAGGCGGCAGCCGGGTAACCAGGTTGGCGGGACTGGCTGCCTACCAAGCCGCCGGAGAGGCCTCCGCCGAACTGATGCGGGTGGCCGGCGACATGTTGGGTTGGCCCGAGGAGCGCATGGCGATACGGGGCGAACTGCTGGTCCGGGGGGATACCTCGGAGGCCGGCCCTGGGCCGAGGTCCTGCAACAATTGGGAAGGCCGGTGGTAGGCCGGGCCCACGTGCTCGATTCCAGCCCGGCGCAGACCACGTCGTTTACTGCCCAAGTTGCCGAGGTCTCGGTGGACCCGGAAACCGGCGAGGTCAAGCTGCTCCGGTTCACCACTGCCCACGACGTTGGCACAGTACTGAATCCAGTGGACCATCAAGGCCAGATTGACGGGGCCTTGGTCCAAGGATTCGGCTACGCGTTGGCGGAGAACCTGGAAGTAGAAGAGGGTAGGGTAACCGTCCCAAACTTCGGCGAATACAAGATCTTCAGCATCCAGGACATCCCGAGTTGCGGACCGTGCTGCTGGAATCCGGGAGCGGACCGGGGCCTTACAACGCCAGGGGTATCGGGGAGAATCCCAGCGGCGCGATCGCCCCAGCCATTGCCAACGCGGTGGCAGACGCCGTGGGCGTTCGCATAAGGAGCCTGCCCATCACCGCCGAAAAGGTATTGCGGGAGTTGCGGGCGAGGCCTGACGCCTAGCCAGGCCTCGCCCTGGGCACGTGGTTCGGCACCCTCGCCGTGTAAAAGAACATTGCATCCCCTCTCTTACCCGGACATTGGCAAAGTAGGTGAGGCGGCTGCCCAATCTCCCAATTCTGCACGGTCAACATCCTCAGGGTAACTGTCAGAGTTGGTGAGGCGAATTGCCAGAAGTGGTTGGAAAAGCACAGTGCGCCGATTTTCCGGTTATGTTAAATCTGAAGCATGGATACGGGTCTTGACCTGACTACCGCCAGCCGGGAGGCTTGCTGGCCCTCATCGCCGGGCAGCAGACGCCTCATCGCCAAGTTGCAGCGAAGGCTTGACGTGCTGGAAGGAAAGGCCAAGCCTGGCGGGTCGCCCCGGATGCCCGGCATTAAACCGAAGTCCGGCCAGGGTCCAGCCAAGGATAATAAAGGGCCCAGGAAGCCCAGGCCCCACGGCTTTTGCCCGCCAGCGCATGGCCCCCACCCACCGGGTGGAGCATGTCCTGGAATCCTGTCCCCAATGCGGCACCGGCCTGGCCGGGGGCTGGGTGCAGCGGACCCGGGAAGTCATTGACCTCCCCCCTGGTTCCGGCCCAAGTCACCCAGCACGTCTTCATAGCCCGGACCTGTCCGGTATGTGAACGTCGCCGGACTCCCCAGGCGGACCTGGGCCGGGTGGTCCCTGGGGTAAACAGCGGTTGGGAGTCAACCTGCTCAGCCGGATTGCCGCCCTGCGGGAAGAGGGACGGCTGCCCTTGCGCACCATCCAGTGGTACCTGCAGACCGTGCACCGGTTGCCCCTGAGCCTGGGCGCCATCGTCCGGGCGATTCACCAGGTGGCCCAAAAGGCTCAACCGGCGCTGGCGGAGATCCGGGACCGAATCCGGGGCAGCCCAGTGGTGCACGCCGACGAAACCGGCTGGCGCCAGGACGGAGTCAACGGCTACGTCTGGACCTTCAGCACCCCCACCGACCGGTACTTTCTGCGCCGGGGTCGAAACAAGGAAGTAGTCGACGAGGCGCTGGGCGATTCCTTCAGCGGGGTCTTGGTCAGCGACTTCTATGCCGCTTACCACCATTACCCGGGCCTGAAGCAGCGGTGCTGGGTCCACCTGCTGCGGGACATCCACGACCTGAAGGCCCTCTACCCCCAAGACCAAAAACTGGCCCAGTGGGCTGGGGCAGTCCACCAAATCTACACTGGGGCGAAAGCCTTCGCCCATCCCGATGCCCGGCAACGCCGGCGGGTCCAACAGCAACTGGAGCGGAAACTGCTGGCCCACTGCCGTCCTTTCCTGGAAGACCAGGCGGCGGTCCAGAGTAAGCTGTGCCAGCGAATCGAGAAGTTCATCAAGGAACTGTTCGTCTTTGTGGCCCACCCCGCCGTGCCCTCGGACAACAATGCCGCGGAACGGAGCCTGCGGCCCCTGGTGGTCAGCCGCAAAATCAGCGGCGGCACCCGCTCGGCCCAGGGCACCGACTCCAAGTTGACCCTGGCCTCCCTCTTCGGCACCTGGCGCGCCCAGGGCCTGGACCCCCTCCTGTCCTGCCAGCTACTACTCACTTCCCCTTAACTCTGAACTGTTAACTCCTCAGGGTCTTTTCATTGTCAGCCGTCATTCCCGCCGCACCAACCGGCACCCTACGCACCGCCGCCCCACCGCGTCCCATCGTCATTCTCGCCGCAGCGGGAATCCAGAGCTCTGACTATGCGCCAACACGGTCATAGCAGCGCCGACGCGCCGGGAACTGCGGCCTCGCACCCCGCAGTCTCCTGTCAGCACAACCGCCATTACACATAAAACGGGCTCTGGATTCCCGCTGCGGCGAGAATGACGGATGGCCTTGGCAAAGCCACCCGTGAGGATGAAAATAGCCTTTCATAGTAATTCCGGATGGCCATGACCGGGCCACGCACGAGGATGAAAACCCCTATTTTCATAATAATAACGGGAGAGAATGAAAAGGCCCTGCACCGTCCCGCCGCCAGCTTGACACCCTCATCCGGCGGTTGTAACTTGGCCCGTAGCTTTTTCCTATATACATTGGAGTTGTAATGCTGAAACGCCTCAGGTATTTGAAACCACACTGGTTAGTTGTTGTCTTGGTGTTGGGAATCGCCGTGGCTTGCGGCGGCGCCGCAGCGCCGGACACAGGCACGGCCCCGGCCGCCACGGAAGCCACCGCCGTGCAACCTGCCGCGGACACCGCTGTTCCCCCCACAGAGGCCATGATGGAACCAACTGCCGCCCCCACGGCCATGGTTGTTCCCTCGGGCTCGATGCGTGAATTCGCTATGTCGCCGGAATGGGTATCCCAGGGGAAGTACGGCAAAACGGTCAAATTTGCCTGGAGAGGAAACCCCGGGCAGTGGGACATGCACTATTGCGCCAGCCTTTTCAGTTGCCTGATGCCCTCACAACCCCGGTTTAACCAAATAGTCGAATATGACCCGGTGGCGCCCACCGAGGTGATTTGCGACCTCTGCAAGAGTTGGGAAGTGAACGCGGACGGCACGGTTTATACCTTCAAGCTTTGGGAGGCGAATTCCAGCGACGGGGTGCCCTTTACCGCAGAGGATGTGGCATTCAGCCTGGACCGGATCACTGAGCCGGACGCCATTCGGAGCAGAACGGGCTCGCTGAGACAGTTCTACGAACACGGCACCGCCACAGTGATTGACAGCCAGACCATCGAGGTGCCGATCAAGTTTCCCGCGGCCACCTTCCTGGCCAACCTCGCCCAGGACTACATGAAGATGTACCCCAAGCACAAGGCGGAAGGCCTTTCCCAGGAGGACGTCAACTGTTGTCCTGAAAACCTGGTTGGTACCGGCCCGTTCGTTTTCGTTGGGATCGAGAAAAGGGACATCCTTCGAATACACAAAAAACGACGACTATTCCAAGGAAGGCCGCCCGTTCTTTGACGGGTTTGAAGTGTTCCTGATTTCCGACCTGTCCAGAGTCATCAGCAGCTTGCAGATCGGCCAACTCGACGCAACCTACGGCACCGGGGTGCCTTACCCGGTGCTGGACATGGAACAACTGGAAAGGGACTCCAACGGCCAGATGAAGCCGTTGAACGTTGGCGGAGCATTCGCGGGGCTGATTCTGCACCAGAACCAACCACCTTTCGACGACGCCAGAGTGCGCCGGGCGGCATACCTGGCATTGGAACGCGAGGTGATCAGAGACACAGTTTGGGACGGGTTGGGCGACGTCGGCACGTTTATAAATTACGGCTACGTGGAGACCACAGAGGGCTTGGCCCAAGAACCCGGATGGCGACTTCCCAAGGAGGTAGACCTTGCCGAGGCGAGGCGTCTGATTGCCGAGGCGGGCTACCCGGACGGATTCGAGGGGACAATGAACGCTGGCAGTTCACCTACCGGCGTCGGGCAAGCTTCAATCGTTACCGAGCAGCTTCGAGCCGTCGGGTTGGACTTCACGATCGACTCGGCGGACACCGCGACCTACCACGTTCGCACGCGGGATGGCACGCACAACTTGACCAGCGTGGTCTCAGCGGTAATTATCCCCGACCCTTCGGACCTCTTGGCGCAGGTGTTCAGCCCTGGACATAGAAAAGAATCCCGACAACTGGTCCACCCCAAGGTTCGCGGAGTTGATAGTGGCCCAGGAGAGGGAACTGGACGCAGACAAGAGAAAAGCCATCTTCAAAGAGATAGTGGACATTCTCCGCACGGGGGAAAGTCACTGGGTGCCGTTGGCCTTTATGACGAACGGCGGGGCTTACAGTTGCCACATGCAGAACGTGGTTGCGCCGCCCACCATTCAGATCGCCCACAAGTGGGAGCACGTTTGGTGGGACGAGGACGCCTGCTAACCCGAGTAGTTGCCCATCCACCAAGACCATGATCGAATAGATCAGATTAGCAGGCTGCTGTCGCGACAACCGTTGATGGCAGCCTGTTGTTGTTTCTTGGTATTTTTACAAGGGAGCGCATAATTGCCTGGACGGCCCCGGATTGCGGGACTTCATGCCAAGCCGGTCCGCCAACTACTGATTTCCGCGTTTGATTTTCGTCCTACAGGAGGGGCTTCATGGATGCCGCCGCGATTCCGTTTATGACCGTAGCCGAGCTATCGCAGGTTCTGGAAAGCCGGGAAGTGTCTCCCGTGGAGGTCACACAGGCATACCTGGACCGCATCGACCGGCTCAACCCGAGTCTGAACGCCTATATCACGGTGTGCCGGGACGAGGCCCTGGCGGCGGCGCGGGAGGCGGAACGGGCGATATCCGCCGGGGACTACCTGGGCACCATGCACGGGATTCCGGTGGCGGTCAAGGACCAAATCAAGACCAAGGGCATACTGACCACCTGGGGCTCCAGGATACTGGAGGACTACGTGCCCGACGAGGATGCCACGGTGATCGCCAACCTGAAACGCTCCGGGGCGATACTGCTGGGCAAGCACAACATGAGCGGATTCGCCATGGGCGACGGCTCCGACCACCCCTACGGCACTCCCAGGAACCCCTGGTCCCTGGAACACAGCCCGGGCGCCACCAGCAGCGGCTCCGGGGCCGCCACCGCCGCTTCCCTGTGCGCCACCTCCCTGGGAGAAGACACCACCGGGTCCATCAGGGGTCCCTGCTTCGTTTTGCGGGGTCGTTGGGATAAGGCCGACCTACGGAAGGGTTAGCCGCTTCGGCGTGTTGGGCACGGTCTGGTCCATGGACACCATCGGCCCCATCTCCAAAACGGTAGAGGACTGCGCCATCACGTTCCGGGCGATCGCCGGCCACGACCCGCGCGACCAATACACCTGGCCCACCCCGGTCCCGACTACCGGCAGTCCCTGGACGGCGACGTCAAGGGAATGAAAATCGGCGTCATCAAGGAGCGGGCCGATTCCCAAGACGTGGAACCGGACATCAAAGAGGCGGTCGACCGGGCAATATCGCTTCTGGAGCAAATGGGCGCCTCAATCGAGGAGGTCTCCATCCCGCTGATCGACTACAGCACGGTAATCTTCCAGGCGATATCCCGAATGGAGGCAGCCAACGTGCATGGGGCTGGATCAGAGAACGACTCGATGACTTCCCCCATGGAATCCGTGTAAGACACCTCTGGGGCAGCATTCTACCGGCCCAAGCATATTACAAGGGCCTAAAACTAAGAGCGATGCTGCGGGAACAGGTGCTGCAGGCGCTGGCAAACGTGGACGTAATTCTGCAGCCAACGTCGCCGGTCCCGGCGCCGAGAATTGCCTCCGCCGCGCCGCCGCGGCCACCAAAGAAAGGGTCAAAGCCGGGTTCTTCGGCCGCAACACCTACACGTCAACCGCCAACGTGCCAACATCCCGGCCATGTCGTCCCTGCGGCTTCACATCTTCCCAACCCGCCCTACCAATAGGCCTCCAAATCTCGGCAAGCCTTTCGACGAGCCACCATGTTCAAAGTAGCCCACGCCTACGAACAGAACACCACCTGGCATACCCAGAGGCCGCCGGTGTAGGGGTGGGGCGGATTGTTGCAACCTGGTCCGTAATTTATGTGAATAGTCTGACTAGTTATAATATGGCCCATGGATATCAGCTACTCCACATATGAAGCCAAAGCACGTTTCGCGGAAGTCCTGCGGCACGTTAGGCAAGGAGCGACGGTCACCGTCCTTCACAGGGGTGAGCCCGTGGCCCAGATCCGTCCGGTCCCACAGGGGGAGCCGACCATCGAAGAGCGACTCGACGGGCTGCGACAGCGCGGGGTTTTGACCGAACACGGCGCGCAGGGGCAACGGATCGCCAGTGTACAACGGCGTCCGGGTGCGCTGGACCGATTTCAGCCGAGCGCAACGGGTGAAGAAGCGCCGTTCAAGGACTGCATGCCAAACACCCTCTACTACGGCGATAACCTGGACATTCTGCGGCAGCACGTTGCCGCCGAGTCGGTGGACTTGGTTTACTGGATCCGCCCTTCAAAACTCCAATCCCAGCTACAACGTGCTGTTCCGGTAGGGGTCCGGGGAGGAGTCACCGGCGCAAACCCCAATTTAGATTACGCTTGATATTGGGCAAGGGAAGAGGCGGAGCGATGTACGGTTTACAAGAGCTTGTGGAATCGGCGATTCAGGAGTTTCTGGCAACTGGTGACACCGAAGAGAATCCAAGTTCTCTCGAAGAAAAAATAAGTGACATGATGCCGGATCTAATCTACTCAACCGCAGAATCAATGCTGGATACTATTAGATTGGACGCGGCCTCTTTTTTGAAGGCAAAGCGACAAGAGCAACGTCAGTTTGAAAGGAGGCTCCAAAAGCTCTGGGTGAACCACTGGACCTCCTCGAGTTGTTCATTTCCTTGTCAACGGAAGCAGGATCCGATTTCAACTTCAAGATCCGAAACGCGGAAGGTCCTTCGATTAATGCCGTGTCTGAAGCCATCACGCGATTGCACGCAAAGGCGTGCCAGGTGTCATCGGCAATTCTTACTCTATTGCGCTCGGGCTACGCAGATGATGCACACGCTCGCTGGAGGTCCCTCCACGAGATTGCAGTCGTTAGCTGTTTCATTCGTGAACAAGGACGAGAAACAGCAGAACAGTATCTGCTTCACGACACTGTACAGCGCTATAAGCTGGCATGTCAGCATCGGGCGTATAGTGAGCGAATTAACGACACCCCTATCCCGCAGGAAGAGTTCGATAGTCTCGAGTTAAAGCGTGACGACCTTATAGCCACATTCGGGAAGTCATTCAATCGGGATTTTGGATGGGCTGCATCAAAGATAAATGACCCTACTTTGAGAGCAATAGAAAAACAAGTAGGGCTAGACCACATGAGGCCATACTACAAGATGGCTAGTGACAACGAGCATCCGCACGCCCACGGCGTTTACTACAGGCTTGGCTTAGGTCCTAGGTCCAATGATGTACTCTTAGCGGGTCCAAGCAACGCTGGGTTAGCGGACCCTGGACACTCAACCGCCATCTTCACTAAAAACACACCAAACAAAAAATCTCAACACCACGACATCTTGCACTGAGTCAAGTTTTGACACAACGTCTTCGTACACTTCTAAGAATACAATTGAACGACAAATGCTGCAATGAAATAGGGCAAGCATTCCTTCGGGCGCACAAAAAACTTGAAACCCTGGCCGATGAAATAGGCTAGCGGAGATCGCAACTTGACCACGCCCGATTGGAAAAACAACCCTCTATACTAACTTACGGCGATACCTGGAGCTACTAGCGGCAGCACGTTGCCGTGCCGCGTCGTGGCCCTGGTTTACCTGACCCGCCATTTACTCCACCAACGCCAAGCTACACCGGGGCTGTTCCGGTAGCGTCCTGTGCGATGAGTCGGCGGCTCAGATCCGGGCCTTCACCGACACTTGGGAGTGGACCCAGGAGACCGAACGCACCTACGAGCTGGACATCATTCAGAACCCCGCCGTTCCCTCCCGCGGCGTCAAGAGCATGATTTCCTATCGGCCTCCGCACAGTCATCGTACGGCACGCATGATGGCGCTACCTGGTGATGATGGCGCCTGGTGAGTTCTGCACCGTGTTCTCAGCCCACGGGTCTATATACCTGCATTGCGACCCTACGGCCAGCCATTATCTGAAGCTGCTCATGGATGCGGTGTTTGGGAATAGAAATTTTAGAAGCGAGATTGTCTGGAGGCGTACGGGCTCACACAATCAGAGCCGAAAATACGGTCCCGTTCACGATGTAATCCTCTTCTACACTTCAAGTAACAACTATGTGTTCAACACTCAGTTCAGACCAGTAACAAAAGGCCATGTGGACAGTTACTTCAAGAAAGAGGATGACCGAGGCCGCTATTGGACCAATTCCCTCACGGGAGCAGGAACCAAGCACGTGGCAATTGGCCACTTGGAGAGAATATGACCCCACGTTTTTCACACCTACGCATGTGGGCTATCCCCGCGAGCTCTTCGCACGCTTTGGTATATCCGATGACCCCGACACACGCAGACAACACGCGAGAACTCTACACTGCAGGATGTATAGAGTTACCTGCCGAAGATAGCAACGCCCTACCCACCTTCAAGCAATACTTGCAAAACTCCCGTGGCATCCCGTTGCAAGATATCTGGGCATATCAACCGCATTCCCAAGGTATCTTGTACGGAACCAACGAGGCCATAGACGAAGATGTACGATGGATTCCTCGACAGGGCGGTGCTGAGAGGCTGGGTTATGAGACGCAAAAACCCATGGGGGTACTCGAACGCATCATTCTGTCATCGTCAACGAGGCGCAGGCGAAATGGCGGTGCTGACCGCCTTCTGCGTGTGCGGACGGCGGTGGCTAGCGCGCGAGAAGCTGGGCGCAGTGGCTGGAGGGCATCGACGTCACCCACTTGGCCGTGGCCCTGATGAAGAACCGGCTCAAGACCGGTTCGAGCCTTGGAGCCGGGCCGCGACTACCAGGTAGTGGGCGAGCCGTGGACGTCGGCAGCGCCCGGGCGCTGTGGGAGCAGGACCCCTACCAGTTCCAGTTCTGGGCCGTGTCCCTGCTGGAGGCCCAACCTCAGTCGGAGCAGCGGCGGGGCCCCGACCGGGGGATCGACGGGTTGCTTACTTCATCGACGGCCCCCGCCGCACCAGCCACAAGATTGTAGTACAGGTCAAGGGCGGGCGGGTGTCGTCGCCCCAGGTCCGGGACCTCAAGGGGGTAGTGGAGAGGGAGCAGGCGGCCTTGGGACTGTTCATCAGCCTGGATGAGCCCACCCGGGACATGCGCACCGAAGCGGCCAGCGGCGGGTTGTACCACTCCGATATCTGGCAGAAGGACTACCCGAAGATACAAATCCGCACAATAGCCGAACTGTTGGAAGGCAAGGGCTTCGAGATTCCGCCGCACCCACCCACGCTTCAAGCTGCTACGCGAGGTCCGACGTGCTGAAGGCCGGCAATCCACACTGGGCGAGGCTGGGTAATATTCTGTCCCAGTTTTGCAGGCTGGGCCTTTACGGGCGGTTCGTGGGATGTTCAAAAAAAAGGCCAGGCATGAGCCTGGCCTTCTTTTTTAGGTTGGGGGTAGTTGGCCTACGGCCCGATTGCCAGGCCGGCGCTACTCCATGGACTTGTCGTAGATTTGGAGGCGGCCGCGCTGGCTGTCGGTGACTATGAGGCGTTGCTTTACCGTGTCGAAGGTTGCGCCGGTGGGAATGAGAACCTTCCGAGAAGCTCCGGCCTCGTGGTCTCTCGAAGCTCTCTCATGGTTTCCGGGTTGGACGAAGCCTGAGTCATGGTGACCTTGGACATCTCGTTGGCGTCTCCGAGCAGGCTGGTGATGAACTGGCCGTCCGCAGCGAACACCTGGACCCGGTCGTTGGCCCAGTCGCACACGTACACGTCCCCATCGGGGTCGACTGCGACGTCCGATGGGCGGTTGAGCTGTCCGTCGCCGCTTCCAAAGCTGCCGAAGGAGGCCAACATTTCGCCATCCGGAGATAGTTTCTGCACCCGGTGGTTCTTGTGATCGGCGACGTAAATGGCGCCGGCCCGGTCGATGGTCAAGCCCCAGGGCTTGTTGAACTCGCCGGGGCCGCTTCCTCCTTTGCTTGCACTGGCTCGCAGGAACTCACACGTTTGGTGTCATCGAAATCTTTGAACCCGATGGTTGCGGCTGTCAACAATGAACAATTCCTCATTGCGGTCGAAGGCAATGCCTGACGGACCGTCGAATTCACCCTCTCCGCTGCCGCCTTTCCCCCAGAAGCCCAGGAACTGGCCCTCTTTGTCGTAAATAGTAACCCGGTTCAGCCATTCATCGGTCACATAGCCGTTTTCCTGGGCATCGAGGCCAACGGCAACGGGCCAGGTAAACTGTCCGGGGGAATCTCCGTCGGTCCCGAACTGAGCCAGGAACTTTTCGTCATCAAAAGACCTCATGGTGGCCAAACGGTTATTTAACTCAGCGGTTGCCCGCGCGCGACGTGGTCCAAGGGAGGTTGGGGTGGTAGTCGGTCCCGCGGTTCACCACGTAAACCGCGTCGCCTTCGCCGACGGCAACCGAAACCATGGTCCTGCTGCGCCAGCCCGGAGTTAATAATTTCACCGTCGCGTGTTGAATCAAAAAGCAAAACTC